GATTTTTACTCCAAAAGCATTTTATTAAAATAAATGTAATAAAAATTTTAAAAAAAGGATTTTTTAAATTTTTTTTAAAAAATCATCAATTTTTATCCACCCTACTAAGGACAGCAAAAGGTGAGATTTGCCAAAGGGTCTATGATATTGCTCTTCAGACGAGCACTATAAGCAACTTAGAAGAATGGGTTCCTTTCTGGAAACCATTAGAAAATTCTTTTATTCTCTTGCCTAAATTTTATCAATTTTGTTTTGCTTTTTTATATTTTGATCTTTTTGTTTAATATATGTATAAATTTTAATTGGTAGGATTGTATGGTTTTATTATTCTTATTATTTTTGAGTCTGCTTTTATATGTTGCTTTGGGATTATACAGTGGGTATAAAAAGTCAACACACCCCTATAAAAGTGCCAGGTTTTGAGATGAAAAAAAAATCAGACCAAGATAAATCACTTCAGAATTTTTTTCTACCTTTATTATAAGAACCCAGACCAGAATCCAATTGAAAATCTGGGAAGTAACCTGAAGAAGGCTGTGCACAGGAAATGCCCTTAAAATCTTTCAGATTTTGAGCGCTTTTTTAAAGAAGAATGGGCAAAGATTCCCAAGGCAAGATGTGCCACATTGATAAGCTCCTACTCCAAAAGACTGAATGCTGACAAAAAATCAAGTGCTTCAATAAAGTATAAAGATGTGTACATCTATGCAACCACATTATTGTAAGTTTATTATCATCTTCCCCTAAAAGATTTCAATTTGCTTTTCAATTGAATTGTAGAGTTTATATGTTATATTAAAGGTGAAAAAAATCTGAAGTAATTTATCTTGGTCTGATTTTTTAATATTTCTAACACCTAACATTTTAATAGGTGTATAGACTTTCTGTATCCAATAGTTACTTTGTTGGTCATTGACCATAAATGGTAAAACTGAATTAATCTATGATGGTGCATATGTTAATATATGATGGTGCATATGTTATTAATACACTTCCTGAAGGAAGGATAAATCCTGGGATTCTCCATACATGACCCACTAATGGACTGCTTCAACAATTGTAGCAGGAATAATTGAACAGGAAATATTAGGTTTAAAGTCAGCTTGTATCTTAAGTTACCTTTCCCCCCAAATAGTGTTGAAATACAGCACTGTAGTCATATATGACAGGTTATACCTTCTGTGATGTTTCTAGCATCAGCAAGCTTTGCCAACTAGTAAACTATCCATTGTAGCTTAATTTATTTTCTGTTAGCCTATGCTGTAATGTTACTAAATTTCCTACAAGAATCCTTCTTCCCTAATGTTATCTTCCATTTTTGGGCAAATTGAGCAGGTACTCAAGCAGAGTACTTTGTCAGGTTCCCCCCCCCTTTTTTTTTTTTAAATTGATGCATATAACTGTATAGATGCAAATACTGTACTTTCAAAAAAAAAGTCTGTAGCCTCCCAGTGTTGTCCAAGAATAAAGTGGAGAGTGGCGGAGGCATACTAGAAAATGATATTGAGGCTGCAATTTTTCTTGTAAGCATGCTATTTTAAAATTAAAATTGTGGAGCAGGAAATATTCCAAAGCAGGCCTGGGGATTTTATGGCCCACAGGCTACATCCGGCCTTTCAACTGTATTTATCTGACCTGCGGCAACAGCGGAAGCAAGAAGGGTCCTTCCACAACAGGCCCAGTTTCTGATGTGGCCCCCTTGGGAAAATTTATTGCCCACTCCTGTTCCTAAGAGATATGTGTAGGTACATTGATTCCAGTAGGTGCCAAATATGTCAGTGGGTGATAAGTTGGAAACCCTATATATATATATTGTGTTTGGTTTAAGATTGTTCTGCAAGTATATTGGTGACTGATAATTCAATTTAGAATTTTCTGATTAATCAATTTGTTAATAGCATTTTCCTATGGCTTTTTTCTCATAATTTAGCAGTTATGCAGCAAATGATCTAAAAGCTATTATGAATTTGTTTATGTATTATAAATCTGGTAATCATTGTCATTGTCATCGTTGTCATTCTGTTTGTGCTTAAAGTAAATAAATTGTAGATTCCCCCCCTCCCCCCCCAAAATAATTTGGAATTCTCATACAGGGATCTTTTTTAAAAAATGTTACCAGGTTTTTGTATTTATTTGGAAAATAACAGTTCTTGTATTTTTAGAAAAACTGGTGGCCCTGTTGATGTTGGTTCAGAATATGAGAAAGAGCTAAATGAGCAAACTGAGAAACTCGCACGAGTATATGGCGGAGGAGACATGACCAAATTTCCGGAGTTCAAATTTGAAGGTAAGGTTTTAGAAATGTGCCCATTACAGGTAGTCCTCGATTTACAGTCATTTGTTTAGTAACTGAAGTTACAACAGGACTGGAAAAAGTCACTTAAGATCAATTATCACACTTATGACCTTGCAGCATCCCCATGGTGATCAGAATTTGGACACTTGCAAATCAGCATGTATTTACAACAGTTGCAGCATCCTGGGGTCATGTAGTCTCAATGTGTGACTTTTCCAGTTGGCTTCCAACAACACGTAAGGTCAAAGGGGAAAGCTGGATTTGCTTAACATCCATGTGATCCACTTAAAAATGCCTTGCTTAGCAACAGAAATTCTGTTGCTCATTGTGCTTGTAAGTCAAGGATTACCTGTATTAATATATAATGTGATTAAAATCTGAAGTTATAGTTCACTGATGGTTACAATATAATTACAGGCAATAGATTATGTGCAGCATTCCTGATTGAGGCAAAAATGTGCTTCAGGGTGCAAACACTTTTCTACTCCTTAAAGCACCTGTACCTTTTTCTATATGGTTTCCTTGGTTGCTACCTTCCATGGTTATTATATGATCCCATTAAAAGATGTCTTCTTACAGACTGGCCAAAAGACACTCAGCTAGCTTCATGTCTAAGGCAGGACTAGAACTCATAGTGTCCTGGGTTCTAGTCTGGTGCCTTAACCACTACACCAAACTGGCTTTCTATTCAGACCTAGCAGGCAGTAATTAATATATTTGAATTCTAAATGTAGTTTAGTGGTTCTGAATTGTTTTAAAACAACTCAATTACCAGATTGTAATTTCAATACATTTATGAAATATATCCAAATGTTAATACTCAGTTTAAAATAAAATTGTAGAAGCCCGCGTTTTCATATTCTTGGCACAATAATAATTATTCTTTTTCCAACAATATCTATACACATTCACACTTGGTATCTTTGTGTTTAATTTTTATATCGGCTACAATTAATGTAAGGGTTTTTTTGTTTGTTACTATATTTTATGGAACTTCCTAAAATTCCCTTTTGTTATTTCAGATGGTAGCTTTATTGAGCAACAACTCAGCAAGCTTTATTTTTGCATAATTCAATTTCAGTGATTCGTACTTCTAGTATGTAAAAAAGTAGAATCCAATGTTGCTTTTTGATGTTGATTACTTGAACATTTTTATGCCATGGTATATGACAAGCAAATGCTGCATTTATTTGCTCTTATCTAAAAAAATGTGTGTTGAACAGTATGACTTTATTTCTGGTACATGGCAATGGGAATCAAGTTAGAAAACTATTTTCAAAATAAACTTAACAAGATTTTTTTTCTACTCAACAGAACCCAAATTCGATGAAGGTCAGAAGTGATGTGATCACATGCATATGAATCGTTCGGTTGGACATATTGAGTTGCAGTTATAACTTAAATAAACAAGTTCAATGCTAACCGTGTGCACTGGTGTTTTGAATTCAATTATACATATAGATTCTTATTCATCCAATATGCTTATAAAAGCATATTACTAAATATTTCATTACAAATTAATGTCTCTTGTTTTTCTGATAAGCTTTAATTACTTACTAAACATAGTAAAATTTTGGGGAAATAATTTAAATAGTTCTCATAGTTCAATCATGAGAAATTAGAATGTAACAGTACAGTAGATGTGTAATAATAGCAGTAAGGTTCCTTAAATGATTAGAATTTTTTTATGCACACCAGTGATTACTCTTGCTTGGCAGCCTTTTTCTGGACTCCACATTTTTACACAGAGTCTTTTAAGGGAATACTTGCTTTTGAATAAACAGAAGAGCCATTAAGATTGTAGATAATTTCACCACAAAGTCCATAACTTGCTGATACTGGTCTTTAGTAAATAATTACTTTAAAGATAGTAAGCAAGCCTATAGTATATCAAGGATATTAAAAACTGAATATTCTTCATTACCAATTTAATAAAGGAGTACATATTTTTTTTAAATCTTAAAAGAACAGTAAATGTTTACCCGCCTTAATGTTTACCTCCTTAAATATTGACTTCATTTTGAGAACTGTGAAGTATGATAATTTATCATTTATTTTTGAAAATTATGTGGCTGCCAAAACAGATATTTCTAGGATTTTTAATATAAAAGAGAATTGTCAAAATGCAGTTTGTGATTTAAGTTTATATGCTTATATTAATTTTTTTACATGTCATAAATTTGATTAAATTCAGATCTATGCTACAACTTTTATTTGTGACTGAAAAAGAATCACAATGTTCCTAGTGTTTTAAAATTTCAACATTCTCTTTTATTCTAGCAAAACACTGGTAGTACTAAATGATGCATTGCTTTGTTAGGTGGCTGTGTTTTGCTTTCAAATTAAAGATTGTATGGTATGTGCAAAATACTCTGAAATCTATTGCATTGTTTAACAGTTGGAGATACAAACACCTGAGTATCATATAAAAAAACTCCCTCCCCCCTCTCTCTAAACGGCCTTCCTAGACTATTAAATAATAAAATAAAATGTTTTAAATAATATTTTTGGCCCAATTTCACTGCAAGAAAAAACCCAATTTGAAATAATGGACAGAGTGAATTTGTATTTTTTGTCACTTAGGTTGGGAAGCAGCCTATATATCCCCAGGTAATTCTGTATATTTTTAGCACCCCCAAAATCATACCATTGGATTGTATGGCAATCTTTTTTCGGTGTTTGGTGGAAAACAAAAGATATAATGCCATATTTAGGCTTCATTTATTTCAATGACCAATCCCCTTTCAAAGTTGAAAGTCCAGTTATACAATTAGAAAAGTGCAGTCCTTTGTCATTAAGAGGTTGCCAGCTCCATTTGGTTCTGAATAGATTACACACATATTTGAATAAAGTTTCAGACTAAATAAGAACACATATTTTTTATCACTACAATAACAATTGTCTTGATCTTAGCCCTACAACAGCAACAAAACATTTACCCTCAAATCAAATTAATGATACAAATTGACAGTAATTTTCAAACCAATTTGTTAGAAATGTTTCTGCTTCATGAAATCAACTGGTTATTATAAATTGAGACAGACTGATTGCAGTTATCTTCCTTCCTTGGCAATGATAGCAGCAGTTTTAGTGGTTGACCTCTAGAGAAAGAGGAAAGAGCAAGTCCTCCGTGAATGCCAAAGCACCAAACTCTGTTTTGGAATAATATGGATAATTGTTTAAGGCTATTCCAGTCTCAGAGTTCGTTTCAGAAAAGTGGCTTTGTAATTAGCCTCTTAATTAGGCCAAAGTGCTATGTAATCCAGTTTCTGATCTTAGCGCCTAATGCTTCCATCAACCTCAGAGAGAAGAGATAGCCTTCTCCTATAGTTTGTCTCCACAAACTTATTACTCTATGTAAAAAATGGGAAATAGTATTTGCTTATCACAACTGGTAGCCATTTTTAGTCTTGTCTTCAATGAATTTGTCTAATTTTCATTCCATGCCATCCAAGCCAATAGTAGTCACATTAATTAGCAAAAATCCCAAAAATTAATAATGTGAATACTATTTTTTTGTCTTCATGGGATATTTTCATCCATATGGCACCAGAAGGGCATGGGAGCTTACACTGTCAGTGAGAAAACCAATCTGTCGTAATCTTCATAGATTACATAATGTTATAAAGCCTGGTCATGGTTCCAGTAATTTCCTATTTTTTAATTCTATAAATCTCAAAACACTGTTCCTGTTTAGGATACCTTCATAAATTTGTTTGCTCTTTCACACACATTTTTCTACTCAACAGTACCCTTTTTGAGATCTAATAATCAGAACTATGCCATTAGTTCACTATTTCTTTACATGTAGGCATGTGAAACAGCAATATTTATATTCTGCCAATTATTTCCACTCCTTTTTTAAACAAGCAGCATCAGACTAACATTTTTAACAGCTTTTACCACCTTTTAGCAATAGAATCTTGAAATCTGCCACCAGTTGTTTCTTGTTGCACTTAACATTCTTTTTATAGAAGAGTTCAAACATCTCTGATATTTTCTGCAGCAAATTCTGATCCTCAGAAATCGACTTTCTTTTAAATAATAAAGGACTTGGTGTGCTTGAAATCCTGTAAACATATGTAAACAATAAAAATATATTTAAAAGAAATCCTAAAGGAATTAAATAATTAACATAATTCAAATTCTAGTAAAGTTAATGCAGTAGTATTTGTAAACAATCAGTGGTCATGTATGTACTCATCACACTAAGAAGATTATATGTAGGTGTACAAGGTATGCTACTTTGTATCATCTTGAAACAGAAGAGTACTGACCTGCCTTTCGAAATTTCTTCCATGTCTCCCAAATACTGTACATACATACATATACACATACATACATAATACCAATAGCACTTAGACTTATATACCGCTTTACAGTGCTTTACAGCCCTCTCTAAGCAGTTTACAGAATCAGCATATTGCCCCCGACAATCTTGGTCCTCATTTTACCCACCTCGGAAGGATGGAAGGCTGAGTCAACCTTGAGCCTGGTGACATTTGAACTGCCAAATTGCAGGCAGCCAGCAGGCAGCAGAAGTAGCCTGCACTCTAACCAGTGTGCCACCGTGGCTCATAATCCCCAAACTGTAACAATGTACCTGATGCTACAAGAGCAAATATTCTTTTGCTCAACAAATATTAGGAGCATTATCATGCCTTTCATGTTGCAGAAGGTTACTAGTCAGCTTTGAAACATTGGGGTCATTTTTATAATAATCTGGTGTATGCATGTGAACTGAAGTCAAGACACATTGGGATGAATCCATAGTTCATGGCCACTTTATGGCCATTATGCAGTGGCGGTTGCTCCCTGTTCTGTCCGGTTCTTCCGAACCGGTAGTAAAAATGGTGGAAAGTTCTGCCCACCCGCCTGGACATCAGGTATGATATGCGCAGAAGTGCATGTGCGTGCTCCCGTTGCAAACCAGTAGTAAAGTGATCATGTATGAGAAAGATCATAGCCAAAAAGAAGTACATTTTTCTAAAGGTAGACTTTTCATTTACATCATCTTATAAACTTAAAAATATTTGCCATGGCCCATATTGTTTCTCTGTACTATGTGATAATGATCTTATGAGAGGACAGGTATCCAGAGTCAAAAACTGCTATGACACCTTCAAAACCAACCAATATATTTCTATACCTTAGGTAGGTAATTATATAAACTAAATTTATGTTTAAATATAAAATAGCCATCTGAACCCTTTTTTCCCCTCCTGAAATATTAGTGTTCATTTGAAGGGATACCCAATGGCTGAGAAACATTTGAAGGGAACATTTATGTTGGGGAATATTCAAAATCAAGTCGTATCTTTTCCCTACCTATTTCTTCCCCAGATTCAGTAAGAATATATTACTAGGTTCAATTGACTTGTCCAATTTTTAGCTACTGCACTTTACATAATAGCTGTGTGAAACATGCAGATAGATGCAGAATACTCACTTTTTCACTTTCTGTAACTCTGTACTTGGAACTATTGTTCCTGCTCGTGAAATTAAAAAAAACAACCATTTACATCTGAGGACTTCCGGTCAATTAATCTATATATCTCATGTGTATAAAGGTTTTTCATGCATACTTCAACTGTGTTTCCCTGAACTGAAACCAAAATTTATCAGCTACCTGGATAGTGTACTGAGGAAAATATTTTCATTTGTAAAGCTACACCAGTCATCAAATTTTAAAATTTTGGACTGAGTAATGCCTTATTTTTTGTGACCATAATAATATTAATGTGTATAAAACCCTCATGTTGAAATATTGCAACAGAAATTTGGTTTGGCATTTTGTTCAAATGAATTTGTCTAAATAGAAAATGTATACGTTTTATGAAAAAAGTAGTTACTATTCTTTTAATTAATGAAAGTGAACTATATACAGTATTTAGTCCAATGGCCATAAACTATAAAAGGAAGTATACTTTATACATGTTCAATGATGAAACTGTATAATGCATAAAGAAAAAGATTGCCCAATGACTACTGTATTCAAATATTTTTAAATGATATATTAGAAATCACTCATACTCTTTAAATATTTTTCAGCTGTGCCAAAATTTATAGGTTACATTCTTCAAAAGGTAATAATGCAACTAAATCTACTCATTCTATTCAATTGCTTCCACAACCTAGTAGAAATTATGATTAACATTTTGGCAATACAAACATGACAACAGACAGAAAAGTAACTGTACTTACATTGAAGAATTTCTTTCTAGAAAAATAAGAAGGAAAAAATGCAATAACACTAATGCAATTTGATACTGCTTAATTGCAAAGTTTTTGAAAAATTAATTATTACAAGAGCATTGAGTTGCATTGAAACAAATATTGTATTCTCTCACTGATTTTTGGACACATTCTTTTTTGTATTTCCTATAAGACTGCAGTTACATATTATCATGACTTGCATGGTTGAAAGTGTAATCATAAGCAGGGGTGTCAAACTTGCATTGTCACATCATCACATGACGTATTGTGACATTTTGCCCTTCGCTAAAATGGGGATGGGCATGGCCAGTGCATGATGCATCTGACCCGTGGGCCACAAGTTTGACACCCTGATCTTAAGGAATGTTTTTTCTCTGTGTGAGTTTTCCTTGCAGATTGGTGCTTTTTCTCATCCTGCTAAGGGATAGCTTATCTTGGAACATTTCCTAAATAATCTGAAGAAGTTTATTGAGCACATGCTTTTTACCTAGTGTGGATTGCTTTGCCATGGAATTAGAAGTAGGTACTGGTTTTAGCAAACCTAGTCACAGCTATTTCTTATCTAATGTTTTATGTGTCTGAGCAAAACAAAAATTATTTTTAAAAAAATTATGATGTGCTATGGAAATGCTTAAAAATACAAACTCCTTTTGATCAATTATGAAAATATTCAAAGCCACAATAGGGCAATACTTCTTAGAAATAACTACAATATTACAAAATAGTAAAGATAATTTCAGAAATTGACGGAATCTAGAGAAACATTATATGGAGAAAGAAGGCAAAATTAGGATACAGATTTTTTCCCCCCAATGGAATTAAGACATTGTTAGATTTCTCCTGTCTGCTCCCTCAAAGAATAAAGGCTCTGTTTTGCTGCTAAGAATCCAAATTGTTCTCTTCCTTTTGTGGCTCATTGTTCCTATAAGAGTAACGCATACAGAGAGCAAGAACTGACCAGCTGCTCTGCTGAAAGTGAAGTGGATTTTATTTCAGCAAAGTCTTTTGTAAATGAGTGTGCTTCTACTCTAATCCGGCAGAGGGAGTTAATAATGAAAATTCTACAAAGATTAAACCTGCTGTCTAAACATCACTCTTTGGGTAAAGAAAAGTGCATTTTAAAATTGCTAGTATGTACATAATTGCATTTTATAATCCAGAATGCACCTATTAAGAGTTCAAATAATGATTCACATTGAATTCCAAAAAGGAATCTAGGTATACATGAGGGAACAAATGTAGCAGATTCTGATACAGTATTCAATTTAGCAGACATATAATCTTAGGGAAACTGCAGCTACTCTAAAGATTTGCAGTGAGGCATTGTAATCATAAAAGAAGCAAAGTGTCAGTCTAACCTTCCTGGCTTTCCACAAGAATTTAAAAACTCGACTCTACCAATTGACTTGGGGCTCCAAAAGAGGGGTTTCCTTTGGGAGTGATAGAGCCCATCTCTCTCCTCCCCTTCTCATCTTACTCCTTCCCTTCCCATCTTTTAGTTAGGGATGAGCATTTGGATTTTTATAGTATTTATATTGTCCATTGATTTTGTATAGTTTTATCTTCTTTAATATCATAAACCACCCAGATTTACCACCTGGTAAAATGAGTGGCGAATAAATTTAATAAACAAACAAAAAATAAACGCACCTTTTCAGAATTGTACTGCACAGTCCTACTTTCTGTGTTAGAGTTAAGTTTGCCAAACAGTTCTATGATTTTCATAATTTCTGATAACCTCATATAGAGAAAGACTACAATAGCAAGTTAGACATTTTTTTCCAATGTGAATACTGGCACATTTCTAAAGGAATCTTTATTTTTGTGGAGCTGCATTATTCTCTAGGCATGTCGTTCCTCAATAATAGTAGTAACGCAGTCTGCTGGAATACATGGAAGTGTCTCCCAAATTATCAAAAGAACTTTAAATCTAATTGTACTTAATCAGTAAAAAAGAATATAAATTCTGTTGATTCTCCAACCAGGAAAGGGTTAGTCATCTTTGTGTGTGTGTTTGGCGGTTAGTGGGGTGTCAACATCATCACCTAGCCTTTATTAGTGTACACAATGAATTCAATGCACATAAAAAAGGGTAGGATTTTGAACATCCACTTACTATATGTGCACCATTTTTATTCCCTCCCATCTCCCATGAAGGCTTCCACTTCTGTTGTACTAATTGTAATCACAATTCTCAAACAAGTAGGCAATGAAATATTTGTAATACTTCAAAGAAAGGGTAAACTCTACTTACTTGAAAAATAACCTTTCTTCTGTGCATAATATACCCCAAGACCACAGGAAGCCATTATTAAGACCACAATGACCACCGAAGCTATGATAGCACTTACATTAAGGTCATCTAAAATTCAAAACAAAATGAATATATCAGGAAGGGATTCAATACCCAAAGTATTTATTTTGAGTAAATCGTCTTGAGAGAAAGCAACAATGACTAACATTCAATCTTAAATGAGAACATTAAATAAAAACCTTACTAATATGTTGTTGCATGTAAACAATGAAAGTTCAGTTTTCACCATCATGATGAGTTTATTGAGTGGCCTTATCCAAGCTTCTATCTCTGTGTTCTTATCGCCATAATTCTCCAATAAGATAATCACTGAAATTCTTCAATACGATAGAAAATAATTGTTACAAAGATGAATGGTGAGGTCTGTGAAGTCTTAAGTATGCAACAAAGTCACTTTGAAGAACGCTTTATTTATTTTTTTCAATTTTTTTTCCTTGTGAACATCCTACAGAAAAACTTATATTCTGAAGGATTTAGCTATGAAGAGAGCAAACTATAGCTCATTATATTATCACTTTTTCCAAAAAGGTTTCATTCTAAATCTCAGATGTCAAGTGAATGTAGTTGGAAATAATGCAAGACCAAAATAGAACACTGCTGCAACAGTAAAGGTAGAATTTAAATGGCCACTATACTAAATAGATAATAGAGTCTTCTGGCAGTAGCCAATCAATATTTCCAAGAAATCTAGAATACATGATTGAAAACCTCAGCAGATGAGATAATGTATTCCACTGGTGTCAAACTCGATCACATCATGTGACATATTGTGACCAGTGATGGGATTCAAATAATTTAACAACCAATTCTCTGCCCTAATGATTTCTTCCAACAACCAGTTTGCCAAACTGCTCAGAAAGTTAACAACCAGTTCTGCCGAAGTGGTGTGAACTGGCTGAATACCACCATTGATTGTGACATTTTTTGCCTTTGCGGAGCTGGGGTGGGCGTGGCCTGCACATGATGCATCCGGCCCACGAGCCGCCAGTTTGACACCCCTGTTGTACTCATATATGCATTTATTACCTTTGCCAAATAGTTTTTTCGGCATACCTGAGTCTAAATACTATTGAAACTACCATCTAAGTACATATATGGTAGGATTATGCTATAAACAGGAGTTAGCTTCCATTGCAATCATGAAAGCACAGGATATATTTTGCTGCTTTAAATATAGCACAAATGTTTGAGCATATTTTAGGGGTACAAAGAGAATGATTCTGACAATGACAATGTAGATATTTTCATATGGGGAAAAAATATTTGATATCCTGTTCCCATTGCTACATGATTTGTGTACTTTAAAAGTATTTAGATTTCTATTTAAAAATAAATGGTTATATCTTATTTTAAGATTTCATGCAATACAGGTCCATATTCAAAATTATCAACATTTAAGTCCTCCACTGCTGCTCCCTGGTTTTGAATGGGAGCACTTAGGAGTGACCCAAGATGACCTTTGGGCAATTGAGTGACCCAATTGTCCAAGGGGGGGGGGTGTTCTTGAAAATTCCAATTTCCTCTGGAAGCTATCAAAAAGTCATTGGGTGTATCCATCTTCCCATCAAGCAGTTTCATTTTCTAAGTGTGCCACAATTTTAAACTTTTACTTTTTGATTTCACTGTTTTATTTGCTTATTGTTTTAAAAGGTTAATTAATGGTAGAGTGCTGATTTATCTCAACCTCTTGCCTTTTCTCTTTTTTTCTTTTGATATATGTTGTTTTTGGATAACCTCTGTCTCTTCTGTATGGAAATCATGGTAATGTTCAGGGGTGGTGAACAGCTCTCAGACTCTCACTACTGAATTCTGTATTTTTTTGAATTTGTAAAACATCCAGAGTTTATTTCCATTGAACTTTTCTTATAATCTTGGATTGATAAAGGCAACATACTTTTTTTGTTCTTTGTTCCCTGGCTAAATTTCACAGATTAAGATGGCTGAACAGTCTCTGAAACCTAAGAAAGGAGAGTGGGGTGATGAGCAGCTTCCAGCTGGGTTCCTCTCTTGAAAACTTGATTAAACTTTAATGATTGTTAAAATAATGTTAAGATCTGAAGCTTTTTCTTTGGATGTGGATGAAGATACACAAAAAGACTTTGATCGAGTTCTAGATCATGGCTGGTGAACCAACAAGGTGGATTTCATCTGCTGTTCCGATTTCATCTGTTGTTCCAAAGTTTAAGTCTATACATCCTTTAATATTATGGTTTTGACTAAAAAGGAAAGAATAGATTCCAGATCTCTACGAAGTCTGAGGGAGACTGAACGAATTTATTACAGTTAATTGCCAATTACTTCTGCTTGCACTTTGATTGGAAGATAGACCTATTTTGGAGATTGAATTTAGTATATTTAATTAAGCAACAATTGACTAGATACAATAGTAAGAAACAATCAATTAACTTTCGGGCCAAATTTATATATATTTTTAAATGTTTTAATATTTGTATTCTATGTTTTTTATCTTGGCTGTACACCGCCCTGAGTCCTCAGGGAGAAGGGCGGTATATAAATTGGAAATTAAATTAAATTAAATTAATTAAATTAAATTAAATTAAATTAAATTAAATTAAATTAAATTAAATTAAATTAAATTAAATTAAATTAACAAATATTTAATCCAGAATGTTTTGTTTGTAACTTTTGGATGATTTTGGATAAATAAGATGGTAAATTTTCTACGGGTGGATTACAAAAGCAGCCTGTTAACAGAGAGTTTCAAAACTCTTGTTTTGTTTCACTGATATTGTTTTTTCTGTTAATTATTTTATCATTAATATAACATATAGAAAACAGGTCAACAAATTGCAAATAGATGTAGTAGTTTAAAAAAATTGGAGGGCTTGTTTTGCAAGGAGTGGGAACTAATGTAGTAATATATTGATCAGTATTAAACTAGAGGGGATAATATGTGTATAATGTCTTTTTTGATGCACCTTTTTAATGCTTTAAGTGTTTTGTGTTTTTTTCCCCTTTTGTCCTCTTGGGCTTTTTTTTTTTTAGTTCTGTATTTTGTATTTTAACTTTGTTTTGAGTAAAACAAAAACATATAAAATTTTTAAAAAATTACTCACTTGATCACCATATTCTAATATCTATTGTTATGTTCAGTAAAAAATTAATATAGTACAAGTAATCCTCAACTTATGAACAAAACTGAGCCCAAAATTTCCATTGCTAAGCAAGGCAGTTTATGACCTTTTTGCCAGTTGTTCAGCGAATCACAGCAGTTTATAAGTAGATCATGTGGTTGTTAAGTGAATCTGGCTTTCCCCATTGTCTCTGCTTATTGAAAGCCAGCTGAAAAGATTACAAATGCTGATCACATGATCAGTGGTGGGTTGCCCCCGGTTCGCACCAGTTCTATAGAACCGGTAGTAAAACCGGTGGAAGGCTCTGCCCATTGACCCTGACGTCATCAAAATGCTTCTGCGCTTGCGCAAAAGAGTGTGCGGACCCATTGCAAACCGGTAGTAAAGGTAAGTGGAACCCACCCCTGCACATGACCCTGGGACAGTGCAGCTGTCATAAATACATGTCAGTTGCCAAATGCCTGACTTTTGATCACATGACCATGGAGAGGCTACAACAGTCATAAGTGTGAATAGAATAGAATTCTTTATTGACCAAGTGTGATTGCACACACAAGGAACTTGTCTCAGATGCATAAGCTCTCAATGTACATACAAGCAATAAGTGGTAAATCATGATTACAATCAGAAAATACAATCATCATAAATCATAAAATGCAACACTCACTGATAGTCCTAGGATATTAAATAAAAGCAATCAACATAAATTATAAGATACAAACAACCAAGTTATAGTCATAAGATGCTAAAGGAGTAGGTAGTGGGAGAGATGAGAAGGATAACAGTAATATAGCTCTGCTATATGGTTTGACATCTCAGGGCATAAGACAGTGTTGTGGAAATAAGTTGTTTAGCAGCATGATGGCATGGAGGGAAAAATTGTCTTTGTGTCTGGTTGTTTTGGCATGCAATGCCTATAGCATTGTCTTGAGGGAAGAAGTTAAACAATTTATTTCCAGGATCTGAGAGGTCTGCAGATATTTTCACAGCCCTCTTTCTTGCTCATGCAGTATACAAGTCCTCAATGGAAGGTTGGTTTTAAGTAGAGGACTGCTTGTAATGTGTTTAGTATTAATTGCCCTAAAATTTAGTTGATAGAAATTCTGTGTACAAGTTTCAGACTTATAAGATTGGTTCTTACAAAATGTAAACGGTAAGCTTGTCAAAATAGTGCCTTTAAAAAAAATTAAACTGGTTCTGGACAATAAATCCTCTTTAACTTATAACAATTTAATAGAACCATTATCAGGCCTTATTTGCATTTGATATTTACCCACTTGCATCCTCTTCACAGGACATCTTTTAGGCCGCCCAACTTGATTATGAGCTTCACAGTAGTATTCCCCAGTGTCATTCTTTGAAACAGGATTGAACAGCTAGTTTAAAAGAAAATATAGCATAACTATCGGGTAAAAGGTCCATGAACAATTAGATCTACAAATTTCCTATGTATTCCTTTGCATCATTTAGAAATATTTATGTACAATATGTCAACATTTTCTAGTACTAAAAATGATTAATTCATCTAGCAACTAATTTAATGAAGTAAACTATCGTTTTTCAGAGGAAACCTAAGCAAAACGTAGCATCAAATTCTGAAAAGTTGGTGGGGTTGTATATATGAGACTGAAAGATGATAAAATAAAATAGAGGGAAATGAAAGTCATAGGGATGTAAAAAAATGGACTGGAAGTCACTACCCATTTTGGCTTTAATTTCTTCAAAGTATGTATCAGATATAGAAAGTTAATTATTTGTTACATGCAAACTGGTATCCTTTTTTTAAAAAAATGTGCTAACCATGTAAGAATAAAGTGATAAAATACTCTTTAATTACCAGAATGGTGCCAATGAAAACAGATCCAAAATATAAGCTACAGTTTTTCTATTCAGCTAAGGTTACTGTTCTGTAAGAATTCAGCACATGCTCAGTGATGAAATTTGTATTTCAAGCCTGATTTTATCACAAGCAATGCTCTTGTCAATCAATTGTTTTTCTGGTATTGTCCTCAAAGTGGGATGAGATTCAGGATCCCTGTTCAGGCAGATTTTATCACCAACAGGCCTTTGGAAATAATCCTGTATGTGTGTAGTAGACTTCAGACATAATGGACTTGTAGGCAGAAATTAGTTTGAGATCAGAATGAAGGGACGTTTCCAGTACCCATTTCTGCAGTAATGGTGTATACTTCCCAGTTAACATTCAATAGAATATACAAAACATTTCTAAAATAACTAAATTCCTTAGCATTGTTCCCATTCTTGCATCAGTTCAATCCCAATTATTTAATTCAGAATGCATTTTTCTCATAACTGAACTTGTAATTAAAATCTTCATGATGTGAATAGCTTTGGCAATTGGCTTTCTTTCTTTTTTCTTTTTGTTATTTCTATAGTTCCATTTTGAATTTCTTCAATGTTGCTATAATATAGTTTGAATTGTTTTGAGGCCTGGAAAGTTACACACTAAGTGTCATTGAAGAAATGTAAACTTACCAAGGTTCCTGTTGTAGTATTCAAAGTATAAGAAATTTTTTCTTTTCTGAAGCTCCAAAAAAATGTGTTCTCAGGCAGAATAGCACCATTCCGATACCACCTGTATTTTGAAGCTGGCACACCTTCACTTTCTTTGCATCGCAATTCTACTACTGTCCCACTCAGGGCTGAGATAGGCACTTCACAAACAGGAGCAGATGGTGGCACTAGAAAATGATGTCATATATCTAAGACAAATACCCATATTTCTAAATCTGAATATTTCTTCACAAGTTACTCAAATGAAAGTTTGAATGGTATGTTTGGGTGTTTATATATATAAAACATCTGCTATTTCTCTGATTATAATCTTAAATCAATTAATAACAAAATACCAGTATATCAGTTGTATTTTCCATATACATTTTCTTTCACATTGTTGGAAGGAAAATCCATCTGGTTTAGGGGTGGGTTCTACTTACCTTTACCACCGGTTCACAATGGGAGCACGCGTGCATGCTTTTGCTCATACACAGATCACCCATAATGATGTAGTGGCGGGTGGGCAAAGCCTCCCGCCGATTTTACTACCGGTTTTATAAAACTGGACCAAACTGGGAGCAACCCACCACTGATCTGGTTCAGTTCCAAGCTGGGAGAAAGATGCTGGAAACAACATGGAGGCTGGAGGCTGATTGGAAAGAAGGTCTATTTATTGATGAACAGAACCACTAGGATTTGTGATTCTGTGTCAGCTAAACCAGAACCACAAATCCTAGTGGTTCTGTTCATCAGTAAATGGACCTTCTTTCTATACAGCCTCCAGCCTCCATTTTATTTCCAGCGTCTTTCTCCCAGCTTGGAACTGAACCATATGGGTTTTCCTTCCAACAACAGTATTAAATAATACAAGTGAAAACTGCCTATGGTACCACACTTGCTCAAGTAAGCAGGATGGGGGCAGGTGATGCTGAGGCTAGAAAACATTATTTCTCCATTATAATACCTGCATTGTGGAATAGATTCCCTCTAAAAATTAAGCTAATATGCTCTGAAATAGTCTTCTAGAACCCTTTAAAGGCTGAAGTCTTCCACAGGATGCTTTGTCATCTAAACTTGGTTGTTTATTTTTATAGTAATAGCAATAGCACTTAGATTTATATACCACTTCATAATGCTTTACAGCTTTCTCTAAGTGCTTTACACAGTCAGTATATTTCACTCAACAATCTGGGTCCCCTTACTTTAACCGACCTCAGAAGGATAGAAGGCTGAGTCAACCTTGAGCCAGTGCATTGTAACCACTGCACCACTATGCCTCTTAAACAAATTATAGCTATTTTGTTTAAAGTGCCTAACAAGTTTCCCTAATTTTCCTACCTTTCTCGTTTATAGTCATTTAATTAACCCTCATTCAAATAGATGCCTTTATTTGACCTAAAAGGTTTTTTTCATAAAATTGTAATATTCCTGTATTTCATCTGTATCAGCTCTCAAATTAAATTTAAAGAAAAATGAAGCTGCCCTGCAGAATTAAAATTAAAATTTAATTTAAACTGCTGATAAGATCCTTTAGATTTCTTACCCAAGACTACGAGAGAAATTTCCACTTCCCCTGTTCCTTGTCCTTGTTCTGTGGGTGCACTAATTTCACAGCGATATTTTGCAGAATCCTTTCTAGTCACATTTTTAAGATGAATGCTTGAGTGCAATATTTCAGCTCGACCTTTAAAATTACCTGGAAAACAATAACATTTAGAGAGAGAAATGAGAGGGATGGAGGAAGAGTTGGTGGCAGCTATATAGACTCTTGGATGACTGATTTCTATGTAAAAGATAGATACGAAAGTGGTTTTCTTTTCCAGTGTATAATACAGTTGCTTTCCATTCCCCAAAAGACATTTTCTTTTGAATTATTTTACAGTTTTGTATTTTGTATTAGCTTTTTAAAAAATCAAATTAAAATTTTCAGACAAAACAGATGCAACTACATTTTTGTTTTTCTTTTCCTGCTGCCTGCAGCTGAGGCAGTGGCTTTAACAATCTTTGTTTGCTACTGTACAGAGTTCTTCCCATAAAGGTAATATTGTCTGTTCAATCCATATTCCATGTGGGGAGGGGGAGCGGGGTAGGATAGGATCAGGATTATATTTTTACTAAAATTCTCTTAGGGTGAATCATAGTCTTTCACCAATGTATCCAGACACGTATTTCTGCCATCATTACCAAATCCTCTGCATTTCCCCCACTCTAGGAAAGTCCCTTCCCAAAAGAGATTTGCTTAAACCAGGACCCACAAGAATAGTGTTAGAGCACTCTAGCCAAGCTTTAATTGGACTGAAGTTGTTTTCACATATGTAAACTGCATACTTATCTTTTCTGTGTATTCCTCTAAGCACCTGGAAGCATGCAAATAAAAAAGGTTATATCTGGTTAAGCCACTTTAGTCAGCAGCCATTTCTCCAAATAATCATGGTGACAGTTTGATCAGAATAGCTGCTAAAGTCCAAGCTCAATCCAGGACAGGCGAAATAAGATTTACAGACAGACAAATCATGTATTGATTGACCAATGGTTCTCTCAGCCAGTGGTAGGTTTCAAATTTTTTTACTACCGGTTCTGTGGGCATGGCTTGGTGGGCATGGCGGGGAAGGATACTGTAAAATCTCCTTTCCCACCCCACTCCAGGGGAAGGATATTGCAAAGTCCCCGTTTCTTCCCAATCAGTTGGGACTTGGGAGATAGCGAATAGATGGGGATAGGTCCAGTCAGAATTTTTACTACCGGTTCTCTGAACTACTCAAAATTACCGCTACCTGTTCTCCAGAACTGGTCAGAACCTGCTGAAACCCACCTCTGCTCTCAGCCCAACATCTCTCACAGGATATAGTGAGGAAAAAATGGGGAAAGAATGTATTTAATTGAAAATCTTTGAAGGGTGATGAAATATAGGAAATAAAATCTACCAATAACCTTTATTTGACCTCTAATTGATCCTATATTTGGGGTCATTAACGTGCTACAAACAGCAAATTAATGCATAAACAACCACAAAATATTTGCTTACCTACAAAGACACCATTCAAGTAGACAAATGAGACAGTGGAGCCTTTAATCATTTTCCACTCAATCCTTGCACCAATTTCCTTCTTTACATTGTGCTTACAACTCAGATACGCCCCTACAGGAAAGAGGAAAAAAATATGATTGTTTTCTCTTTTGATATAGCTTATATTGAAATCGTACAATGCAACCAACCAGCATAACATGAAAACTGATTTCAATAAGATGATTCTGAATGACATTTCACAAATTGTATTTTGAACAGAGATTAGTTACCTGAATACCCTCATTCTCATAATGTCTGAAATACTATGTAATTTGATGTAAGTCTATTATAAATGGTAGGCACATTTTTTCTTAGACCTTGTTTTAAATTGATACATTTATCAGACCTTTTAGTTATCAAAACTATGTCAACTTCCAAGTATAACACATAATGGTGGACAGGGTAAGAATAAATCTCAAAAGTATAAGCAAACTCTCACTTTAATTCAAAGTAGGGAATGGTATCCATTAATGTAGAAGTCTGTCAAATTTAAGAAGTATTTTATGTATACATACTGTAAAATAGTGGAATGAAACAAATTTTGTCCATTGCTTTTGAATATACTAACATGGGATTTACTATGCAACATGTGGGAAAAACGCTGGCTACCCAGGAAATTAAATCTTTTATCTTGCAGAATGCTCATTTTCAATATTTATTAGAATTCCTGAACTTCAGATCACTAGGAATACCCAAGCTATCATTTTTCAAGAACACTCTTTCAAACGTTTTCAAAAGGCACTGTTTTAAAGACAGTTTTACTAATGAGATGTTATATTCTTAGAAAATATAAACAATGTTACTATAGGAGACTTCTAGAGCCAAGTAGTGGAAATGGCTAGGCGGTGCTTTTCCTGAAATTTAGTTATCAGGAGGTCAGAGTATTTATATTTTTTCAAGAATAAAGGTTATTAATCAAAGCATTTTTGTTTTCATAATGTTCTTTTTTTCCTATTCCTTTAGCCTTTTTTTAAAAAAAATGATTGTAGTGTGCGCATGAATTTTAATGAGGACTGCTAAAACAGAGAATCTAAAATCTATTATTTAACATGCACATGAGGAAAAAACTCAATTTTTTCACATATCTTCACAAAAAAATAAGTGTTTTCAAATTGAATTTCTCATTGGTATTTCTTAAGAGAAAATAAGAGAAATTAAACAATTGAATGAAAATTGAGAGGTATTATATAATATTAAAAACCAGGCAAAATGTTTCTGAAGTACACAGTGATAAAAAAAAGCAAAATAAACATTTTAAAAAGTGAATTTTGGAATGGAGAATTCACAACAAAAATTTCAAGAAGGAAAGATGAAGACATTTTTGAGAAACAGACTCTTTAAATAAAAAAGAATAAAGTAGTTCAAGGTCCAAGCTTTTAAAATGCTAAGGTTTCCCAAATTAATGAAAATATGCTTGAAATATTTTTTTAAAGTATGCATTGTCCAAACTTCCACTTATTCCATTGTTGTGCAGACACAAATTCAAGCTCCATATAAATCCTTCATTAACATATTCCTTTTCAAAGTATTCCTGCTTGACCTATCATGTAACAAGATGGAATGTATGTCAAAAATGTGATTTATTAATCAGAAGCCCACAGCAAACTTGATGAGTATGGATAACGGCAAGGATAGGAACTTGTGTTAGAAAGACAGGGCTTCAACAGAACACTTGCAGAGAAGCCAATATTGCTTCTGTCTTGGATCTGAAAGAAAAAAATAGCCTGGTGTAGGAAATTTTATGAAATATTTATCAAATAGCAAAATATGTTTTAAAAAGACAGAAATGGATCATAAACAAAGAATAGTATTCCTTCCACAAAAAGTTGACACATGCAAGTTTCTTCTTTGTTCTAATCTTTCATCAAGGTGAAATAGTATGGGAAGGGATAATTACATAAATTATTTCTACTTCTTGGCAGTCCACAATACTGAAGCAATCCTGAATACATGTGCAAGAAATGTTAGATACTTATTCAGAAGTTATATGTCAAAATATATCACATAGATTATAGCAATAATCCCAAATTAAGCAAATTCACAAAATTTGATGAAAACAAATTTTCAAATGTTAGAAATCTGTCCATGTTCCTGAAGGAGAAAGACTGTAGTAAAAGTGTAGTTTTATTGTAAGATCAGATAACTTGAAGCCTAACTAGAAAAGAAAATATTTGGAAAACCTTTCTACCCCATGGAGGTAGGAGGCAGACTTTAAAGAACTGAGAAGGTAGCCTCCCATAGATTCCACATCAATGAAGGAGAGACCTTCATGAATGCAGAATTTTTGTTACCTGTGAATTAGAAGAGCCAATAATGGCACTTAAAAATCAAACTAAAACTATCAGACAAAACTAGGCTGGAACATCAAAAAAAATCAGTTCAGGAAACATATTCCTATCTAAATTTTGTAATGTGAACAAATGAATACCAAATTCCCAAAGGTAAAGGAAATGGGTTCAATGGAATTGAAAAAAAGGCAGACGTGATTGGTAGGAGAGAATGGAAGTCTGGAAGTTGGAGTAGAAGTTGCAGGTGACTTTCCCAAATATCAACCCACCCACTGCAATGTATGGGATTATGTATAATATAATTCTGTGAATACATTTATTTTCATTGTTTTAGAAAGATTTGAACAAGGAGTAACATAATTTATCTACTGATAATAACTGTGAATAATCATTAAAAAGAAATTCCAAGGTTAGTGTTATGAATGTTTTCAAATAGATTTAAGTATATTTTAATTTTTTTTTCTATTAAACACATATGATTTAATACATTTTTGAGTTTAGCTGGATCACCTATGAGAAAAGCTAAAGAACATTTGAAATAAGTATATTAATCAAGTAACTAAGTGATTCTGGGTGGACATTTTATGTTTTTACAACCTACTATACTTTAGTGATATGAGCCTTCCTGACTCTTAACCTTGTTTCTGCTTTTCTATGCTTTCAATATACTGTAAATATTTTTCTCAGAACACACATGCACAAGTGTGTGTGTGTGTATGTGTGTGTGTGTGTGTGTGTAAGTAAAATAGACATACTATACCTTCAAATTCTCTTGCTGTGACACGTTTATTGTCTGAGTACACGGTGATTCCATATGTCTTATAATCTGAAAAGAAAGAAAAACTTACATTAAAATGTTCATTATTTTTATACTGAAACAAACGAAAACAACCACTCCTTTTCTTGGCAATCATACTCTCAAACTGCTTGGTGTCATTTACGGTAAATTTATGGATTCCTATGAGAAATCAAGGGTTTAGGTTTTTTATATATATATATATATATATATATATATATATATATATATATATGTATATGTATATGTATATGTATATGTATATGTATATGTATATGTATATGTATATGTATATGTATATGTGTATGTATGTTTGTGTATGTGTATGTATGTGTGTGTATGTATGTGTGTGTATGCAAATTTACCTTGTTCTTTTTTGAAACTAGGTTTCATGTTATATAGAAGGGTGTTTTTTGTAATAATTTTATGTTAGAAGCAGCCCTGTTTATTATTTGAAATTACATCCATTTTCTTTGTTCATTTAAGATGTTGAATTTGCTCTCGGTCAGAATAAGTAGGTTTCATTTTGTAAAAGTACTTTAAATACTTTAGATAAAAAGATACATTATTGTTTTTATGATTAGGAAACACAAAAGAAGAACTGATAAACATACAAGACAGAGAGTATACTAGAGATCAAGCTTCATTTATTTTTAATGGCATAGCTTCCAAACAATTTTTTTAAGTCAAATAGTCACTCATCTCAAAAACCATTGCCCAACTGTGACAATGTGTATGATACAGAAGGTCATATTTCTGTTTCATCACAGGGAGTCCAAATCAATCTTGATTCACGGAGGACCATTGTGAAAGAACAAAAAACATCCTGCTTAGCTTCTTGGATATTAAGACAAAAATGCAAGAAACACAAACAGAACCCAACTACTTGCATACAGTTGCTTCCTCTATCACATCATAGGGCAGGAAGGACCCTTAGAGGTCTTCTAGCCCAACCTCCTGTCCAAGGCAGGAGTCCTTACACCATCTGGGACAAATGATTGTCAAATCTTTTCTTTAAAATCTCCAGCAAAGCAACTCCGGGAGGCAAGCTGTTAAATTTATTACTCATTCTCAATGTCAGAAATTCCTCATTTCCAAGTTGAATCTCTCTCTGATAAGTTTCCACTCATTCTTCTTGTCCTGCCCTCGGGTGCTATGGAGAATAAATCAACCCCTTCTTCCCTTTCAATTACTATGAAATAAATGAATAGATTCTGAAAATTAATTAGATACAATCAACATTGTTTTTTGTGCATAGGAATATCTACAGAACAATTAAAACTCGGACCACACGTTTTCTGAATAGTTTTTATCCCAGAGCTATAATTGCACTCAACAATGAACTAAAGGGCCACCATCAGTGAGCTGTTGGACAGCATTACTTGGTCTGTTGTGTAGATGTTTGGGTGGTTTAGGGATGGGCAATTTGTGGTGGGTGTGTTTGGGGATTGTTATGTGTGTTGGACCTGGTCTTTGGGTGTTAAATGAATTTCGTTATATGGGTATACTGTGTATACACGAACAATGACAATAAAGTTATTATTATTATTATAAGAAATACCACTTTCCTACAAGCAACAACTGGAAGGACCACAAAATAGACAAATAGAACATGAAGAAGCTAAAGTTCTCTGAGACTTTAGAATTCACGCAGACGAGGATCTGCACACAACACCCCAGACATAACAGTTGTTGATAAGAAAGACAAAAAAAAAAAAAATTGGATAGTAGATGTGGCAGTACCTGGAGGCAGCAGAGTAGAAGAGAAAGAATAGAAAAAACTGAGAAAATAATAAAATATAAAGACCTGCAAATAAAAGTAGAACAATTGTGACCAAAGAAAATAAGCACCTTGTGTGCAATTCCAAAACATCTAGGGCATCACTTGAACACCACTGGTATTGGCAAATTCCCCATCAGTCAATTGCAAAAGGCAGCTTTATTTGGAACAGTTTATCTCCTGTTATCAAACAAAATCAATTGTAATTGTTTAGACTGGATTTGACATTTTTTTCCAAACAACTGGGATAAGCAAATGATTTTGTTTGATGGTATTAAAGATATCATATTTATTATTTTTTAAATACTGTTGTTTGCCACCTACAGTAACTTGTTTGTCACTTGAACAGCTATACATGCATTTTTGACAAATAAATAAACATCGAGTTATATAAGGCAAACAGTAGATATGACATTTTAATCTCTACTATTATATTCTATATGTAGATTAAGATCTTAGACTCATTATAAATGAGGGGGGAGAGGGATGGAGAGAGAGAATTCTTTAGAAATTTCATTTTGACAAATTAGATAAAGGTTCAAAGTTATCCAAAAACATGCTTACCAGCTACTAGATCCCACAGCAGTTGAATATCATAAAAAACCGGATATATATTTTAAAAAAAAAATGAAACAATCTTATGGCATTCATCTATATGAATCATTTATTATTCTGTTTTAACTTAAGATTCGTATGTCAAACAACCTAAATTTGGGGTTTTCCCATACAACAATAGAGAAAGTATAATAAAATATAGTATAAAAAATTCCCACCCATACAAATATGGTACATTTTGTGAACACTTTTGTTGCTTGTTTCCTTTTTCCAAAGGAGAAAAAAATATTTATATAAACCCTTTCACCTTGTGTTATTTGGAAAGATCTTTCATAACTATGGACAAGTTCCAAAACGTCTAACCAGAATCACTTTCAAAACTGTGATTAGAAAAAAGGAGTTCAATGCTCAGTACTCAGATTAAAATTAATAGAAAAAATGAACATAGTAGTATAGCCTTTATTGTCATTGTACATCATATATATAACAAAATTGGTTACATAGTTTTAAAATTTAGTGAATATCACCTACACAAAAATCCTCAACAATTCAGAATTATAAACTATATTTTTAGTAACCAAAAATAATTAGGATATTTCTTGCAAATCTTTAATGCTATGTCTTCCAAGTCTGTTTATGGATATTATAACAGTTTTAAATAGTTTTTAAATATTCTTTTGACAAATGTAATGAGTAAATCTGGCAATAGTTTAAAAAAAAAACTGAAAATTTTTCTACCAATTTTGTTCTTCTGAAAATGAACAGGAAAATAAGTTAAACAGTTTAACATTATAGAAAAATAGATTGATACTATTATACTGTATAGAGTTTATGACAAAAACAACAAAAGTGTGGGAAAGGTTACCAGTTGATAAAACATATATATTACAGTATCTTTTCCCAGCATTTCATTCAGGTAGGTAGATGAATTCTATTGTTCTGTGTTTTGGGGGAGTGAGGTTATTGTTTATTCTTGACAATGGGGAGCTATATGTATTGGTTTTCTCTAATGAACAGCTGAGTAAATCAACACATACATGCATACTTTTAAAGTACAAATTTAAAATGCTTAAAAGTATGCATTTTTCATTTTAAAGTGCATAAGTAGATACATCTTAAGATGTTTTTAGAATAAGTCTCACATAAATTGTATCCAATGATACTGTATGTATGAGAACACTGTATATATCATATGCATGTATATATTTCTGTATACTGTGTACATCTACATCTATATCGTATGCGTTTGTGCAGTGGTTCAAATTCAGTTCCAAAAAAGATATTCTGGAACATGTGAAAGCATCGAAGTAGAACAGAACTGAAACTTCTGAAAGGAGCTGCTAAGCAATCCCAGGAAAATATATTGTTCCAAACATTTTGAAGTACTTTTATGGAATTGAATTCAAAGCAGTAGACAGATCGTACTAATATCAACACAAACACATATAGAGATATAAACAAATCTAAATATTGGACACATAAATTTGTTCCCTATTATTTCAGGCAGAATGAAGCAGAGTGAATACAGCTGCTAAATAGGTCTGTAATTACTTTCTCACTTTTACTTTGCCAGTTACAGTGTTACTATTATCCAAACAGGACCACAGAGTAAAATTTGTTCTCCTTGCTTATACATGATATCTTAAGCCAAGGATAAAACAGCTATTCTATCAGCAGAATTTTTATATGTATGAATTAAAAGCCACATTTAGATAAAAGTCTTTATACAGTATTTATTGATTGTCCCATTTTGTACAGATATCTGTTTGATAATAGATGTTGGGAAAATTTATTCTTCACAAAATCAAACTACATAAAAATTGTCATGCCTAGTATGGCTCTTTACTTTCTTTTCCATATTTCTTTTCCATGTATTATCATTTCAACTGCATTTTTAACTAGATAAAATATGCATTGGAAGTATGATTTAATCATCAGACTGACCTCCCCCCCAGCAAATTTTAAGTAGGATTGACCTAGTGCAAGCCATGAGTATTTCAGACAAGGGTAAGGCAAGGAATGGAGAACTGATGCAGAAATTTCTCACATCATAGCACAAGGAGACTCCTATTTAAACATGCGCGTGCACATGCACACCATAATAAAGACTACAAATGCTTCCACAGAGGCCTAGTGTTTTTTATTTGAATATGTTGTCATCTCTCCAGCTGCAGTGCTGTCCTCCAATGCAGCTTGCAGTCTTGAGAACCAAATAGCATCCAGAAATAATTTTTTAGTGGTAATTGTTGCTATTCTCTACACATTTTCACCAATGCTAGCAGTGGTGAGTGGTTCCCAGTCTTCTACCACCTTTTGGTGATATCACTAAAGCTGCTTGTCTTTTAATTGCAACATGTTTAATTTCTGAAAATGAAGTCTTCTTCCCATTGCTTACTAGCTACTAGATCCCACAGCAGTTGAATATCATAAATAACAGGATTTTCTCTTTTTTTCATCTTAAAACCATCCTCTCTCCTCTTCACCACTTCTATTTGCTCCCTTTTTATTTTTGTAATGCTACTAATTTTCAACACCCCTTGACCTTCTCTAACCTTTTTATCATTTTTACTTTTTCCACTAAAAGCAATGACTGATCCCCAAAGTAAAAGCCTGCCTTGGCCATGTTAGAAATGTTAGCAGGGGTGAAATCCAGCAAGTTCTGACAGGTTCTGAAGAACTGGTAGCAGAAATTTTGAGTAGTTTGGAGAACTAGCAAATATCACCTCTGGCTGGTCCCAGAGTGGGGTGGGAATGGAGATTTTGCAATATCCTTCCCCTGGAGTGGAAAAGAAATGGGGATTTTGCAGTAACCTTCCCCTGCCACGCCCACCAAACCACTCCCATAGAACCGGTAATAAAAAAAATTGGATTTCACCACTGAATGTTAGGGCAAGCTTTTACTTCAAGGTTAGCACTTTGCTTCTTAAGCTGCTAGCAAAATGTGCATATATTTTCTTTAAAAAAGAAAAGAAAATGAAACCACTTTTTTTTTCAAAAGTAAATGAAGTTCAGCAGAATTCTTGCAGTTACTTTAGTTTTAAAATAGTCAAAAGAAGCGTGCAGGTGTCCTGACTTTCACTTTACAATCATTTTGTAAAGTGGCAATGTACCTGGATTTATTTCAATACAATTCCAAAAGTATACCTGCAAACATGAGGTAGCTCCTTCCTATAGGTCTTTACAAAGCCTAAGCACCTGAAAGCCTTCAGAGGGCTTAACAGATAGATAACAGAACTATGGCACCCGCCGCCTTCTTATAATGAAATTACAAAGAAATAGCAACAAGACATTCTAAAGGAATTTTAAAGAACCAAATCTTTAGATAGGGAGAAAAAACATTTCAGAGAAGACAGTTTTCAGGCAACTACACGTTTCTGAAACAGTAAACGTATAGTAGCACTTTTAAGTTTTTATTTAGACTTCTATTAAAAAAGAATTACTACTATATATTTATACATTATCCAGAAATGGACTTTATGTTGTACAGAAATTAAGTACGTTTAACTGATGGAAAACTTGTAATTGCTCTCTGCCCCTTGCTTTTTCTGTGTTTGTAATGCCATGATTTCAATCCTTCCAATATAAATAAATGATACCTCTCACATAATCACATCAATGTTAAGCCGACAAAGTGTAATGTATAATTTTAGCATGGTTATAGCTTAGCATATAAAGGGACACGGTGGCTCACTGGCTAAGACACTGAGCTTGTTGATCGAAAGGTTGGCAGTTCAGCAGTTCGAATCCCTAGTGCCGCGAAATTGAGCTTCCGTTACTTGTCCCAACTTTCTGCCAACTTAGCAGTTCGAAAGCATGTAAAAAATGCAAGTAGAAAAATAGGGACCACCTTTGGTGGAAAGGTAACAGTGTTCCATGCACCTTTGGCATTTAGTCATGCCGGCCACATGACCACAGAGACATCTTTGGACAGTGCTGGCTCTTCGGCTTTGTAATGGAGATGAGCACCGCCCCCTAGAGATGAGAATCACTAGCACATATGTATGAGGGGAACTTTTACCTTTTAGCTTAGCATATATGCTATGGTTTAGCATGGAAATATGGTCCTGCATATTTCATTGTAAACTATTTTGACAGCTGTGCATTCCAGCTTCACTTATCTATGATCAACACATTGTTTGGGTGTGGTGATTTCTATTCCATTATTGTTTTTTTAAAAAAAAAGTGTTTTAGTTTTCAATAGCTATATCCATTTTTATGAACATCAAAATACTACAAACCAATATTTTGAAACATCTGATACAATTTGTTTCAAGGAGAATTCTGTGACACTTTTAACTATTTAACAAGACTTGCTCAGAAATTTACAGTGGGTTTATAGCCACATTTTCAATAATATCCATGCCAACACTGAGAAACTAGCAAATGTAAACTAAACAAAGATAATTTTACATGCATCTATGACTAGAAGGTATTTCATATAAACCAGAAAAGGACCATCTTGTCCTCATATCTCAAATATCTTTACAAAGAACATAGACGAAGAATACAGATAAAGCATATCAAATTTGCACAAGGCATCACACTGAAAGGAACAACTTTTAAAACAATAAGTAGAACAGAGCCAAAACTCTGTTTATTAAATAATAAATAAAATTATTTAATTATTTTAAATTTTTAATCGATGTTTTGTCTTGTGTTTTTAAATAGGCTGTACACCGCCCTGAGTCCTTTGGGAGAAGGGCGGTATAGAAATAAAATTATTATTATTATTATTATTATTATAAACTAACAGAATGAATTTCTATTGGGAAAAGTATAAAATTTTGAATTTTAATGCGGTATCACATGCATAATATTGGGCAGAAGATTTGTTGATTGTACTGTAGTCCATAAGAAGACACTTAAGGAATTGGCAAAGCACAAGTTAAATATTAATTCAGAGCAGCAGCAATGAAGTATAAGAAATTCTACTCATCATCAATAGGATAGGTAGCCCTCTATTTTGTACTGACTGACATTAAGACACATTCTTGAATAGCAATAACCTACAGTGGGGGAGAAAAAAGGGGGCAGTGAGAGGATGGACCATCACTTAGTTGATGGACAGGTCAAAAGGTTTATTGATACCCTACTAAAAGGCAGAATTTTACCCTGTTCTCGAATTCTAGGGTTGTAAACTTCATGGCAAACCTGCCTAAGAGCTCATCTTAGGTACCCTAATCGGTTAACACGGTCAGCCTCATGATCGCCTCTCTGGCAGCCAAGACAAATTCTGCAGCCTGCCTTGCTTGAAGGTATCTTCCCACCTTCACAAAGCAGGGTGAAGGATGAAGCCTCATCAACATGTTGAGGAAAGCTTTACTCCCACTTCGTCTTGGGCCAGTCTTAGCAGACACATAAAACGCTCCACCGATTCGGTGGTTTTTATTTGCGAGGGGAAAACAACAACAACAACAACCCCTCTGCAGCTTTCCAGCCAAAACAAGCCAATTAACTTTTTTGGGGGGAGGGGTGTCCTCGGTTCCTCCCGGGTCCCCGCACCGTTTGGAGCCCACGCCTCTCCCGGCAGCAACGGGCCAAGCTCGCCTTCCTTTGCCAAGCTGGATAATCAAATCAATGCGAGCCGTGGGTGGGGAAGGGGCGGGCGGGTTTATCCCCTTTTGCTTTTTCGCAAGCAGCCTCGTAGGAAAGACCCGAGGGAGCGGGCTTTTGTTTGCTCCTCTGGACCTCAAAAGTGTGAGGAAAAGCCAGTCTGGAAAGCCGGCGAAGCGCCCGCACCGAAAGAGCCTCCCCGTCGCCACAAGATGCTCCTCGCCAAAAAAAGGGAGAAAGATTTAAGGCGGCGTCGAGTTTGGCAGCTCCTAAGCTCAGAGTCCTCTTTTCCCCACCTCCGGCCAACCGTCGTGCCTCGCAGCCCAGAACTGAACCCTCGCACAAGTACGCACTCCCCACCCCACCTCCCACCCCCCAGAAGAGAGAGGAGAGAGACTTACAGCCAAGGGACCCCAAGAGGGAGAAGAGAAGCCAGCAGAGGAGGCGCCGGCAGCTCGCCATCTTCCATCCAGAGCAACAAGCTGCTTTCCCCCCTCCCGCCAAGACAAACGAGAAAAGTGGCTGGCGGGTGGTGGCGGCGGCTCCCTCGGACTGGGGGAGAAAAATCGATGCAGCAGCTGAAAGCCTTGGCTCCGGCTTCCCCGCGGCTCCTCCCTTCCTCCGCTCGCGCACCTCGCGGCGGGGACGGTGGAGGGGGGTGGGGGGGGGGAGAGCTTTGCTTTTAGTAGGCCAGGGTTTGTGAGTGTGTAAGACAGCGAGAGTGAAGGGAGCGGTGGGTTGGATCCTTGTAAGCGTGTGGGCAAGAGATAGCCGGAGGGGGCCTTTGAGCTGATCCCTCCACCGCTTTGGGGTGGGGTGGGGTGGGGGACGCCCCAAACAAGAGAAGTCCCGGGTCGCAGCAAGGTTGGGTTTAGCACCAAAGTAAGCGGTGCGCCCAAGTTTTATACCATTCTAACTGGTTAGGTGGTGGTATGAAGATGCTATAAAGCATTATAAAACATTAGTGTGGAAATGGTCCATGGAGATTTATTTATTTATTTATTGGTTCCATTTATATGCCGCCCTTTTCTGGAGACTCAGGGCGGCTTACAATGCATTAAGCAATAGCCTTCATACTTTTGTATATACCTGCTTAGTAGGGCTTTCGACCCCCCCCCCTCAAGCGGCTGAGTCAACCCTGAGTCTGGTGAGATTTGAACTGGTGAACCTGATGAGATGCTCCAGCTTTGGGTTAACTCTGCATTCCAACAAACCGCCTTTGTATGTGTATTTGTCACAATTGTTACTGATACCTGAAATCAAGTTGAGTCAACAATTGGGTTTTTTTGGGGGGGGGTTGCATCTGTCATATAAATTCGTTGGATTTCTGCCTTTTTGTAAGGTCTTTTTTCACACAGAAGAAATTGTATTGCTGACTAGCCTTATCTGTAGATTTTTGTTCTTCCTCATTGAAGTTAATGGCCAATAAACAGGAGTACGGGAGACCCAGCTCTCTAAATGCTGGGAAAGGTGGAAGGAAAGAGAAGGAGAGGTTAACCAGCAGGAAAATGGATGGACTCAGTTACAGTGATTGAAGAGTGGCTCAATGTGACATTTAAAAGATCAGGTTTAACAACCATGAGTTGTGATTGGCTTAGGCATGAAAACCAATTGGGTGACCTTGGGCCAGCATCTCTCAGCCCAATTCACCTCACAAGAGAGTGACTGTTGTGGGGAAGATAGAAGGCATATTAGGCATATTCACTGCCTTGAGGTTTTTTTTTTTTTTTAAAAAAAACACTTCCAGGGATGGCATGAGACCTCACGCCAGACATCTGCTTCTGGGTGGTTATGTGCTGGAATAATATTGATTTTCCTTTTTTCAATTTTATTTTCAGCATTCCCACCTACCCCTACAATGATTTAATACTGATAAGTAGTTGGGACAGCAGAATACAATTGGGTAGTTCCACTATAGGATCATATTGCTGTTAAAAGAATGCCTTGATCAGATGAGGCAAGAAACTTGCCTTTTTCTTGGGGTCTGCATACTTTAGATTCTCTGAGTGATGCAGCATTTTGTCAAGCTACAACCTATTGGGGTTAGACATTAATGGTGATCTGCATTCTGACCTATTTGTAGCTGTGGCAGCCTTAACAATTTGCTGCTTGAGTTTATTGCTGCAATCCTGAGTACATAGTAGGACCAAATTAATTAATAGCGCTATTCTGGAATGTACTGTTACCAATGTTTCTCCTGATTTAACCAATCTCTGCGTGGTGTCTCTGAATCTTGCTCTGAATCTGGCAATGCACCAAATGAGCCAATCAATTTTACATCCTGTAAGTCCTTAGCAGAACCTTCTGCTACAGCCTTCAGCTGTAGGTAACACAGTTTGCTGATTAGAGCTTGTCTTTCTCAAAATTGTTGCTGATGAAACTTTATTACTTAGGTTTATTGCAGTAATTAACCAGCACAAAATTGCTAGTCAAGCATCCCTGAGGTTTTCCTGGATTCAATATGTTACACTTAGATTTTAAAGTAGTAATGTTCTCTTGGGTAAACTGAATCTAAATGTGGGGTAGCTTTCTCTGATCAGAAGTCATATACTGACAGTAGAAGAAGGTGATTAGGAAGGGCTTCATTCTGAAAAGCATGCTAGAGACTGTAGATTGCTTAAAAGTTAGCAAAATTCACATGCAGCCTCTTCTCAATGGTAGCCATTTGATATGTAATAGATCTATCAAAGAGCTGCCTCAGTGGGGCAGCTTCCTCTAGGACAGAATAACTGCCTTTTTGGAATCTCATCACTCTGTTCACTCAATTATTGGAAATCTGCAAAATAATCTGACCGATATGCAAGTAATAATTGCACTTACTTCTGGCCCTTTTAGGGTGTTAAACCCTCAACAGTATTTCTTTAGGAATAGGTTTAGCTCTAAATTCCCTGTTAACTGCTTGTTGATTGTTGGTATGACCTGTCTTTATAGCTTCTTCTGTTTTATTTTGGTAACTCTCACTACTATACTATTTTACTCAGTATACTTTAGAAAAGGCTCCTTTAGTAGGTCAACCTTATTTTTGACTGAAGTAAAAAAAAGTTTGAAGATTGAGATTACTGTTTACTCTGTGAGTTACTGTTTGTCTAGCTTTGATGTCTGTTACTTTTTCTCATTATAGGTTGATATCATCCTCATCTTGCAATGTAGCTGCTGAACAAATAGCAGCAGCTTGGGAAGGCAGGGAATCCTCTACAACAAACTGTTGTAGGGAGAAGTTCAACAAACTATTGACTTAATTTCTATCTGTATATCCTGTTTCAAAGAGTTATTAGTGTCATATCTGTCTGGGGAGTAAGTAGGGTCAAAGTTACTTACTGCAGTTGTCTACTTATTGTGTATTAACCCTTTTCTACTGCTTCAAAGATTTGTTTGGAGTCTGTGTTGTGGCTTGTATAGGTTGGGACAAGATAGATTCTCCCTTTTGCTCATTCTTGAATCCTGTTTTATATCTGATTCTGTTTTATCTAGAACAGATAGACGACCTCCCAGGTGGTAGTTTATCAAAGATAAGTTGAAAAATAAAAATAAAATAAAATGGCACAGATTCACCCATGACCATTTTCAGTCCATCCTTGAATTTAATGGTAAGGCTTGACATTATAACATGAAGGCCCATGTAATTAATGGAATTAATGGGACTTTGGAGAAACTTCCGGTGCAGTGGTCAGGGCGGAAGATCGGCGCGGTGCAAGCTCCACTGTGTCAACCGATTTTTCTGAGTCTCCACGGCTTTTTTTCGCCGTTCTCAGCCCCGGAGAGGCTGGGGGAGCAGAGGGGCTTTCTTCAGAGGCAAGGAGAGGGAGTGCGACTCCCCTCCCGCTGTAACAAAGTGTGAGTTCCGAGGACCCGGAGGACAGGAAGAGGGCCACGAGATAGCGGCCCTGAAGCCAATGACGCTGCAGTTTTGACCGGCACGGGGAGACAGGACAGAACGAAATAGGACAAGAAGAAGAAGGAAACTGAACTTAAAACTGCAGGGACTGTGCAGCGACCTGAGAGAATAGCGGCAGCCCAGATTATAAGAGAAGGAAGCCTTTACTTACTAACTGGCTGGATATCTCGCTGCTATGGAGGGAAACGGAAGTATGATTTAACTGGATTATGTGATGGTGTTTATTGGATTTAATGAAAGTTTTTAGCTGTGATAATAACTGAATCCCAGCGGACAAAAGAACAATATATTGTGAATTATTAACTGTATGAAGCGAGCGATGATTAGGGGGTAAAGCTTCTCCTGACCCCCCCTTCCTCCCTAGGAGCGCAGTGTGATAGTGAGCCCTTTCCTGTCTATCTTAACTACTTAGACAAACTGAACTAAGAGTTGAGACTAATATCCCTCTGAAGATCTAACCGACAACTAATATTGTTAATATTTATTAATTGTATATAATAATTGTAGACTAATTGATTGATTATGTAACTATCTACCTTGATTTACTATTTAGCATAATTTGGTATATTAATTTATATATATATATATATTTCATTTAATTGTAGATAGATAAGACAAACTTGAACTGATTTTTGATTATAATTATATAGAATTGAGATTGAACAATAGTAGGAGTTAAGTAAGGGGGGAAACGGAATTGATTGTGCAAAACTAATAGATTATATAACACTGGTATATGATAATCTGGAAAAGCTTCCTCTGCCTAACCAATAAGTCTACCACTGTAACCTCCACTAAAGTGATGAAGAAACATATAGCACCTACAGTGGTGTCTTCGCCGATAACAACACCTCCAGGGCTAAGAAAGTCATTCGAAAATCTACCAATAACAGATAAACCAATTACAATGCAAGGAATGCAGGTGATGTTCCAAAATATTCAAGAATTAATTCAGAAAAACCAAGAAGCAATGTCTAAAAATTTCAATGATCTGAAAACTGAGATGAGTGAATTAAGAGGAGAGATGAAAACCCATTCTAAACACGAGGAGAGATTGATAGAGGTTGAAAAAAACACCAAAAGAGTTGAAATCCAGATAGATAAATGTGAAAAGAGATGTGCTCAAGCAGTTGGGAAACTCGAGGACGAAGTAGTATTTTTAGAGATGGAGAAGTCTGCTTTCTTCCTACGTCTTCAAAATGTGGAGGAGGACAGAGAGGAACAGCTGGAGGAAATCGTAGGAGAAGTGATAGCAGAAATAGTGGGGAAAAAGAAGGAAGAGGTCTATGCCAAGATAGATGAAGCCTACCGCGTTTACACCAACTATGCGAGACATCATAACCTGCCCAGGGAAATTCACGTAAGACTCACCAAAAAGGCGCTTAGAGATGAAACACTTCATGAGACTAGGGATCAGAACGTCACATATAAAGGGCGTCAGATTACAATTCTAAAACAGATCCCTAGAAGGGTGCGAGAACAGAGACAGAGCTATAAATTCATAACCTCGCAATTAAGGAAATACAATGCGCCATACCGATGGTTGCTACCTGAAGGGCTTTTGGTGACTTGGCAAGATTGGAAAATTAAAATTGAGAATATACAGGACGCACAGGAATTTTGCGAAAACTTCTTTGGACCTACTGAAACTGAAAGAGTCAAAGAAACAGTAAAAGAGACTCAGAGAGAGCAGAAGGATTTGTGGAGAAATGAGAGAGGAACACAAGCATATTATGGAAAG